CCAACCAAAATCCATATATATTGCAGATGAATGTTGCTTGTTCTAATTTCCTCTTTGTTTTTTATGAATGGAAGTTTTTTATGAATGGAAGTTTTGTTCAGGAGAGTATCATTTGTAAACGTACCTCACATATTCCTGGTTGCAGTTGGGGCTTATGAGAGGATATCATTTCCCCTGTGGTTGTTACATCTACTCAGAAATCTGGTCCAGCAAGGTCTCTGCATTGAAAAACCTCAGTGTCTCCTGATGAGATGTCGTTTACATATTGCTCCTGTTGTTGTTCTTCATGAAATAGTTGTCATGTTGATGGGGAGAAATAGTGCCAAGAGGCCATTGATGGATATGTGTTGGACTCTGAGGCCATGTTTCTGGGCAGCATTCTTAAGATCAGTGGTGTTCTAAGTTTCAGTGCCTTAGAATCCTCATAGGATTCAGTATACCTGTCTGTTTGTCTTCTGGACTCTGGAGCTTCAACCATGAGAAAGCCACCAAGGATGAGGTAGATTGGTGGTTGCATGTTTTTGATGAGAGCAGAGTATTGAAGGACTCTTGGGCTGAAGATGTTTTGAGGTCCAATGAAATTTACCCTTTATCTTGAAAGAGTTTTTGATTGAAATTGTCCCCATTGAAGGAACTCAGTGGCATTTGTCTTCTCTGATGGCCAAGAGAAGGGTTTTTGAGTAAGGAATGGTAAGTGGTGTGGAAAGAGTTGTTCGCACTAGTGTTCTTTATCCTGTTGATGCTTTAAATGCATACATGCCAGATACCTTCATGATTGAGTGCCCTCATGCATGCTTTCATTAAAACATGAAGTCCAAGATAGACTGCAAGGGGATGAATGACATTGCCCTTGTGACTTGTGTACTTGTCTGCCTTTCTAAAGCTCACTTGTTTTTCTCCTGACAGTCCCAGGTGGTGTCTCCATGGAAGGAAGACCAGATTGTGCAAGGGATTATCTCTGTATTGGGAAATCCCTGCAGATGCTAAGGACACCCTAGAAGTGCATGGTGTGGAGTCCTTTGGGTGTTAGTGGATTCCTCAGGATGGTAAGTGTCTGTTTCCCAAAATACATGAATTGTACTCATTTGCAGGGATACAGATGGTGCATGGATCAATGATGACTTCCAAATATGCATTCCTTGGAAAGCTGAACAAAATGAGTGAAAACTCTATACCGTCATCCTCATCGAACTGAGGTCCAGCACATATGTCCACGTAGGAATAGAAAGAGAGGGACAACTTCCATTTGTTCACATGGGTTGTACCGAGTGGCTCTTCTAGGTTTAGAATATGATCTTTGAGTAATGGGGAGTCACTGAGAAGTTGTAGTAACAATAATTCAGTAGCCTGCCTCAGGCAGCCGTGTTTGTCCTTGAGCCATATAACTTAGGTCCATTATCCGTCTGAAGAAGATAGGTCTCTGCTGTCAAAAAAAAAAAAAAAAGAGCAAAAGGCTAGATTTTGACAGTCCTCTGGCTCATGCTTGTCTTGGCTGAGGATAGGAAGTGAACATGTCAATTCGGTAAAATCAGTGGCAGTCAGTCATGATGATGGTAATGACAATGGATTTTCTGTGTTGAGAAAAGCCTAGAAATGATCTCCAACTTTAACTTTTAAACACATAGAGATATATCAAATCCTGTGACCAACGACAGCTACTACAGTTGTGAAAAGATGAGAACTTAGCATGCATTGACTCAACAACCCTCTGTATGTGTTGTTGAGGGATATTTGTGAGTCTTTTTCAATTGTTGTGTGATGTCAATGGTGATTGCCATGGGGATGCTGGGATGGGAATGTGATCTTGTTTCCATGTGCTTGGGAAGTTCCATAGATTGACTAGTTTTTCTGGAAGATCTTTCTTCAGACATTCAATGATCTCTATCTCCATTAGACATTTGGACTGAATGTAGGCTGAGAATTAATAATTAAGAATTTTCTCTTAGCTGGGCTCGGTGGCTCAGCCTGTAATCCTGTGCCTTTGGGAGGCTGAGGTGAGTGGATTGCCTGAGCCCGCAGGATCGAGACCCGCCTGGGTAGGCGAGACCTCACCTCTACAATAAATCAAAAAATTAGCCGGGTGTGGTAGTGCATGCCTGTAGTTCCAGCTACTTGGAAGGCTGAGGCAGAAGGATCGCCGGAGCCCAGCAGGTCAAGGCTGCGGTGGCCGGGAGTAGCCACTGCACTCCAGTCTGGGTGACAGAGTGAGACTTCAACTAAAAAAAAAAAAAAAAAAAAAAAAAAAGGAATTTTCTCTTAATCAAAGTTGTTAATATAGCAGGCAAATGTTACTCAATCTCTCTTCCTTTTTGTTGATACAGTCAATGTATGTTTGAGAGACTACCATGTCATTTGTGCACATACAACACACACACCTTGATGAACTTGGGGATTATAAAAGAATATCATTTCCCATGTGAGAGTGCCATCAACTTGAAAATCAAGTCCAGCAAGGTCTCTACATATAAATACCTCTGGTGTCTCCTGATGTGAGGTCTTTGTCAAATTACTCTGTTGTTCTTTGTGAAATAGTTGGAATATTATAGGGCAATGGTAGTGCTCAGAGGTCAGTGATAAATAGTGCAAAATCATGTTCATGGGCAAGTTCCTTAAGATCTATAATGTTCTCAGTTTCAGTACCTTAGAAGCCGCATAAGATTCAGTATGCTTGAATGTCTTCTAGGTTCTTGAGCTTCATCTATGGGGAAGCTACCAAGGTTGAGGTTATTTTTGATTGTACATTTTTTATGACACTAAAAATTAAAGAACTCCAGTGATGAAACTATTTATAATCAAAAGTAAATTGCCCTTTGCCTTGAAAGAGACTGTCCCCTTTCATAGATCCCTATGGTATTTGGTTTCTGTGATGGTCAAGGGAAGAGCTTTTGAGTAAGGGCTAAGTGGTCTTGAGAAAGTCATTCACACTACTCTATCCTGTTGATGTTCTAAATGCATATATGCCAGATAGCTTCATGCCTGGGTAAAACTACCTGCATCCTAAAAATGTACCCTATGGAAGCTGATTATAAGTAAGACCCCAGTGGGATGAATACCACTGCTCATGTGTCCTGTGTCCCTGTCTAAAGCACACCTGTGTTTCTGTTGAACTTCCTAGGTGGTATTGCCATGGATGGAAGGTCAGTGGTCACAAGGAAGCACCTTAGTTTTGATGGATCCCAGGAGATGCCACGGAGTTCCAGGACATGTGTAGTAAGCATTCCATCATATGCTGGTCCATCTTTCATGAAAGTAAGCATCTTCTTTTCAAAACAAAGCGATTCTTTTAATTTTCAGGAAATTAGGATTATGCATGAATTAATGATGATTCCCAAATATACATTCCTTGGAAATCCAAGCAAAATTTGTGAACATTCTATATCATTGTCCTCATGGTACTCAGGTCTAAAATGTGTGTCCAAAAGGGAATAGAGAGGACCAATTTCTATTTGTTCACAGGAAATGCACCAAAGTCTTCCTCCAGGCTTAGATTGCTATTCCCTTTGTACAAAGGGATATCACTGGAGAGTTCAGCCTTCTATGCATAGGATATGCCTTGTTTGAATGACTTGTCTCTGTGAAGGTGGGGTAGCACACAACCCATGTGAAGGAGCAAGTGAATGGGCAAGTGGCATAGAAAGAATAAGATGGTAGTCCACCTTGGGACATCCATATTTGTCTTTGAGTCAAGACACATAAGCTGGTCATCCCCTAGATGATGATAGGTCCTTGCAATAATGAAAAACTCACAAAGCTATGTTTTGGCAATCTTCTGGTTCATGTTTATGATACCTGAGCACATGGAGTGAAAATGGAGGTTGGGTGGTATACATGGCAGTCAGCCATGATGAAGGTGGCAACACTGATTTCCTATCTTGAGAGAAGCATGGAGATGATCATTTGTGTTTTCTGAAAGAAATAAAATCCTCTGAATGGGGTGGCTAATTCAGATAACAAAGAAGAGGACTTAGTATGCATTTGTCAGCATCTTTTTGTAAAGGATGTTGGGGTGAATTTGTGAATCTTTTTTGAGTAGTGTGTGGTAGCCGTGGTGAATGTCAAGTCATGCTCATTGGATAGAAATGCTATATAAGTCCATGTGCTTGAGTAGTCTGCAGATTGATTTGGTTTGTAAAAGAATTCTGCACCAGGAATCAGTGGAATCTTTGTCCTCATTAGGCATTGGAGCTGAATGTTGGCATACAATTATTTTTTCATATGAGTGAACATATTTTGGCTCCTGGCACAGCAAGTTCTCAGCATTTAAATACCTTAGTAATTCTTTTTTTTTGAGTTGGAGTCTCACTCTGTCACCCAGACTGGAGTGCAGTGGCCGCTCCCGGCCACCACAGCCTCGACCTGCTGGGTTCCGGCGATCCTTCCGCCTCAGCCTTCCAAGTAGCTGGAATTACAGGCATGTGCTACCACGCCCAGCTGATTTTTTGATTTATTGTAGAGATGAGGTCGCGCTGCCCAGGCGGGTCTCGAACCCGCAGGCTCAGGCAATTCACTCACCTCAGCCTCCCAAAGGCGTGGGATTACAGGCTGAGCCTCCAAGCCCAGCTAGTAATTCTTGATGTTAGGTGAAATTTCCCTTTTGGGTCTTCTTCATGAAATAGTCATTATAGTGTAAGAGTAGATTAGTACTTAAATACCATTGATGCTAAAGGGCTGAACTTCAAGGTCATGTTCGTGGGCAAAATCCTTAAAATCTATGTTGTTCTTAGTTTTGTGCATTAGAAATCCCATAGGTTTCAGTATGTCTGACTGTCTTCCAGGACCTGGAACTTCACCCACAATGAAGACACCAAAGATGAGGTAGATTTGTGACTGCACATTTTTCTTTCTTTCTTTTTTTTTCAGAAAGCACAAGTTGGCTAAGACATAAAAACTCCCAAGTGGGAGGGAACCCAAAAGAGGGCTGCCCCATATTTTTCTTAACGCTAAAAATTTAAGAAACCCAGGGATGAAAATACTTTAGGTCAAATGGAAATTGCTCTTACTGCAGAAACAGATTTTGATCGAAACACTTTCACTAAAATCTTCCAGTGGTGTTTATTTTCTCTGATAGCCAAGAGAAGGACTTTTGAGTAAAGGATGACCAACAAGTGGCCTTGAGGGAGTTATTAAGACTTAGTGCTCTTTATCCTGTTGAAGCTCTAAATGAATCCATGCCAGTAACTATATGCCTGAGTATGCCTGCATGTGTCCTTAAAAAAGTTATATCCATGCAAGGTGATGTAAGACAACAGTGGGATGAATGTTATTGCTCATGTGTCATGTGTCCCTATCTGTCTTGATAAATGACACTCATGTTTCCAGTGTACTTTCTAGGTGGTGTTGACGTGGATGGAAGTCCAATGGCTGTAAGGAACTATCTTTGTCTTGGGAAGTCCCAGAGGATACCAGGGAGCCCAGGACACAAGCCATGTGCATCCCATTAGATGCTTGTTGATCCTTTATCAAGTAAGCATCTTCTACCCAAAACACAGTGATATTTTAAATTTTTAAAAATGAGGAATGTTGATTGGTGATGACTCCCAAATACATGTTCCTCAGAAATCTGAACAAAATGAGTGTACACTCTATACTGTCATCTTCATCAAACTGAGGTCCAGCACGTCTCCAACAGGGAATAAAGAGAGCAGGCCAACTTCCTCTTGTTCACATGGGTTGCACCAAAGGGTTCCTCCAGGCTTAGACTGTGGTTCTGTTTGTGTGAGGGACATCATCGGGGAGTTCATCCTCCCATGCAGAGAATATGCCTTGATGGAATCACTTCTCTCAGGCAGAGAATGGAGTAGCACACAACCCACGTGCAGGTGAATGGGCAGGTGGTAAAGAAGAGTAGAATCCCACCTTTGGGCATCTAGGTTTGTCTTTGAGTCAAAACACTTAACTAACTTGTTCATTCCCCAGAGGATGACAGGAACTTGCAGTCATGGAAAGAGAACAAAGCTATGTTTTGGCTATATTTGGTTCATGCTTGTTTTGCCTTGGGTCATATATTATCCTTGAATATTGAATGGAATATGTGGCAGTCATTTATGATAAAGGTGAAGACATTATGTATCTTGTGAGGAGCCCAGAGATGATCTCTGTTTTTTCTTTTATTTCTATCAGAAGAAATCAAAATTCTGTGACCAGTGTTGGCTAGTACAGGGGGGAAAAGGCGAGGGCTTAGTGTGCATATCGCAGCATCCTTATTAAAGCTTTTCAAGGTGCATTTGTGAGTCTTCTTTGAGTAGTGTATGGTACCCACGGTGAATGCTACATTGGCCACAGTGTTCTGGGAGGGGAATGACATACTGCGTCTATGTGCTTAAGCAATTCTGGAGATTTACTTGATTTCTCAAAGGTCTCTGCACCAGACATCAGTAATCTTTGTCCTCATTAGGCATTGGAACTGCATATTGGCACTCAATTTCATCACAATCAAAATTGAATATAATATGAAAAAATATTGCTTGCTTACCCTTTCTCTTTGTTGGTAAAGGGAGGCTTTCATTTACAGAGCATGTGCCATACATATCCCGAAGACACATTAATGCCTTTAGAAATTATGAGGATGTATCTTTTTTCATGTGGGTGAACATGTATTTTGACTTCTGGTTCAGCAATGTGTCTGCATTAAAATATCTTAGTGCCTCCTAATGTTAGGTTAAATTTCTCTGTGGGTGTTCTTTATGAATTGTTGTCATATTGTAGGGCTGGGGAAGTACTCAGGGCCAATGATGGATAAGTGTCAGACATCAAAGTCACGTTTGTAGCCAAAGTCCTTAAAATCTGTGGTGTTCTTAGTTTCTGTGCCTTAAAGACCCCATAGGTTTCAGTATGTTTGGCTGTCTTCCAGGTCCTTGAGCTTTACCCATGAGGAAGCCACCAACTTTAAGGTAGATTTGTGTTGCACTTTTTTCTTTACACCTAAACCTGAGGAACACATGGGATGAAAATACTTTAGTTCAAAGGAAAATTGCCCTTTCTGCGGATAGAGATTTTGGCTGAAACACTTTCTCTGAAAGGTCCCTGTGGTGTATGTTTTCTCTGATGTCCAAATAAGGGTTTTTGAGTAAAAAATGACCAACAGGTGGTCTTAGGGAGTTATTGAGACTTAGTGCTCATTGTCATGTTGATGCTCTGAATCAATACATGACAGTAGTTTATTGTCTGTGTACACCTGCATGCTTCCTTAAAAATATGAGGTCCATGGAAGGTGATGTGAACAAGATGGCAGTGGGATGAATTCCATTGCCCATGAGTCATGTGTCCTTGTCTGTTGGCTAAATTACATTCATGTTTCCAATGCACTTCCCAGGTGGCATTTCCATGGATAAAAGGCTAATAGCTGCACAGAAACATCTTTGTCATGTGAGATCCCAGAGGATGCCAGGGAGCCCCAGGATACGTGCAGGCATCCAATTAGATGCTGGTTGATCCTTCATCAAGGTAAGCTTCTTCTCAAAACAGCAGTTTAAAAAATATATATTAGGAATGAGGAATATGCCTAGATCAATGATGACTTCCAAATATATACTCCTTGGAAACCTGGACAAAATGAGTGAACATTCATCAAACTGAGGTCCAGCATGTGTCTCCAACAGGAAATAGAGAGGGTGGGCCAACTTCCCCTTGTTCACATCGGTTGCACCATAGGGTTCCTCCTGGCCTAGACTATGGTTCTGTTTGTGTGAGGGACATCGCTGGGGAGTTCAACCTCCCATGCATAGAATATGCCTTGCTTGAATCACTTCTCTCAGAGAGAGAGAGTGGGGTAGCACACAGCGCATGAGTGGGAGCAGGTGAATGGGCAGGTGGCAAAGATGAGTAGGATGATAATCCACCTTTGGCCATCTAGGTTTGTGTTTGAGTCAAAATACTTAATTAAGTTGTTCATCGGTCAGAGGATGAAAGATCCTTGCAGTCACAAAAAGAGCACAAAGCTATGTTTTGGCAATATTTGGTTCATGGTTGTTTTGCCTGAGGTCATTTATTGTCCCTGGATATTGAATGGAATGTGTGGCAGTCATTTATGATGAAGGTGAAGACACTGATTATGCATCTTGTGAGGAGTCCAGAGATGATCTCTGCTTTTCCTCTTGTTTCTACCAGAAGAAATCAAAATTCTGTGACCAGTGTTGGCTAGTGTAGGTGGGAAAAGGCGAGATCTTAGTGTGTGACTGACAACATCCTTATGTGAAGCATCCCAAGGTGCATTTTTGAGTCTTCTTTGAGTATTGTGGTACCCATGGTGAATGCCAAGTCAGGGCCAAGTCGGCCCTGAAGGGGAATGCCATACCATGTCCATGTGCTTCAGGAATTCTGCAAATTGACTTGCTTTCTTAAAGGTCTCTGCACCAGGCATCAGTAGAATCCTTTTCCTTTTTATCAATTGGTGCTGAATATTGGTATATACTTTTTTCTTAATCAAATTTGCATATATTGTGAGAAAATGTTTCTTGCACACACTTTCTTTTTGTTGATAATGGGAAGCTTTCTTCTAGAGAGCATCGTATTCTTACCATACATATTCTAAGAAACATTGATGCTTTAGAGTTTATTAGAGTATGTCTTTTTTAATGTGAGCAAACATGTACTCCTTGCCCAGCAAGGTCTCTGTGTTTAAATACCTTAGTGTCTCTTGATGTTAGGTGAAATTTCCTTTGTGAGTCTTCTTGAAATAGTTGTAATATTGTAGGGTCAGTGTAGTACCCAGAGATCAACGATGGATAAGTGCCAGACATGAAAGTCATGTTCATGGACAATGTTTTAAAAGTCTTTGGTGTTCTTAGTTTCAGTGCCTTAGAAGCCCCATGCTTTTTAGTAGAGCTGACTTTCTTCCAGGTCCTTGAACTTGACCCTTGAGGGTCAAAGTTGTGGTAGATTTGTGATTGCACATTTTTCTTTTCACTGAATTGAAAAATACAAGGAATGAAAATGCTTTAGGTCAAAGGGAAATTTCTTTTTCTGCTGGTAGAGATTGTAGCTGAAACACTCCCACCAAAAAGACTCCAGTGGTATCTATTTTCTCTGAGGGCCAAGGGAAGAGCTTTTGTGCAAGGAATGGCTAACAGGTGGTCTTGAGGGAGTTTATGAGACTTAGTTTTATTTATCAAGTTGATGCTCTAAGTGAATCCATGCTAGTAGCTTCATGACTGACTAAGCTTGTATGCATTTTTAAAAATGTAAGTTCTATGGGAGATGATGTAAGAAAGACTGCAGTGGGATGAATGCCATTGCCCATGTGTCACTGTCTATCTTTCTAAATGATACTCATATTTTTATTATACTTCCCAGGTGGTGTTGCCATGAAATGATGGCCAGTAGGGCAAAGAGCCATCTTTGTCTTGATGCCAGGGAGCCCTAGGACACGTGGTTTGCATCTCATTAGATGCTGGTCGATCCTTCATGAAAGTAAGCATCTTCTAAACTCACAGATTTTTAAAAAAAAATTTTGTGATGGGGAATGTGCATAGATCGATGATGACTCCTAAATATACATTCCTTGGAAATCTGATCAAAATGGGTGAAAAGCCTATACCATCATCTTAATCGAACTGGAGTCCAGCACTTGTCTCCAACAAGGAATAGAAAGAGAGAGACAACTTTCATTTGTTCACATTGGTTGCACCAAAATGTTCCTCCAGGCTTTAGATTGCAGTTCTACTTGTGTAAAGGAACATTGCATGGGAGTTCAACCTCTATGCATAGAATATGCCTTGCTTGAATAATTTCTCCCTGAGAGAATAGGGTGGCAAACAGCCTATGTACAGGAGCAGGTGAGTGGACAGATGACACAAGAAAAGTAGGATTGAGGCTGAATGTTGGCACAGAATTTCTTCTCAATCAGTGTTGTATATATTGCAAGAAAATGTTGCTTGTGCGCACTTCCTTTTTATGTCTTTTAGAGAGCATGATGTCCTTTCCATGTATATCCCCAAAATACTTTGATGCCTTTGGAGTTTATGAGAGGTTGTCTTTTTCTTTTGAGTGTACATGTATTTGATTCCTGGCCCAGCAAGGTCTCTGCATTCAAATAACTTGTAGTCTCCTGATTTTAGGTTAAATGTCTAGTGTAGGTCTTCTTCATGAAATAGTCATAAAATTGTACAGCTGGTAGTACCCAGAGATCAATGATAGATAAGTGCCAGACATGAAAGTCCTGCTCATGGGTAAAGTTCTAAACATCTATGGTGTTCCTAGTTTCAGTGCCTTAGAAGCTCCATGGGTTCTAGTATGTCTGTCATTCTTCCTGGTCCTTGGACTTCACCCATGAGGAAGCCACCAATGTTGAGGTAGATTTTTGACACTTGTATGTTGTTCTTCACACTGAAAATTGAAAAACTCAGAGGTGAAAAAACTTTTGGTCAAAGGTAAATTGCCTTTTCTGCAGGAAAAGATTTTGGCTGAAGCACTTCCACTAAAATATCCCAGTGGTGTTTGTTTTCTCTGATGGCCAAGAGAAGGGTTTTTGAGTAAGAGATGACCAACAGGTGGCCTTGAGGGAGTTGCTAAGACTTAGTACTCTTTATCCTGATGATCCTCTAAATGAATCCATGCCTGTAGTTTCATGCCTGGGTATGCCTGCATGTGTCCTTAAAAAAGTAAGGTCTGTAAAAGGTGATGTAACTAAGACCGCAGTAGGATGAATGCCATTGTCCATGTGTCATGTGTCCTTGTCTCCCTTTCTATAGGACACTTCTTTTTTTATTGCACTTCTTTGGTGACAGTACCATGGAAGGATGACCAGTAGCTGCAAAAACCCATTTTCGGCTTGTGGAGTTCTAGAGAATGCCAGGGAGCTTTAGGACATATACAACATGTATCCCTTTGGATGCTGGCTGATCCTTCATCAAAATAAACATCATCCTCTGAAAACACAGTGACTTTTTAAAAAATTTTAGAAATGAGGATTGTGCATGGATTGCTTATGACTCCCCAATATAAATTCCTTGGAAGTCTGAACAAAATGAATGAAAACTCTATCCCGTCATCTTCACTGAACTGAGGTCCAGTACATGTCTCCCACACGAATAGAGAGAGGGAGCCAACTTTTATTTGTTCACGTAGGTTGTGCCAAATGGTTTATCCAGGCTTAGATTTTTGTTCTGTTTGTGGGCCATCAGAGGAGAATTCAGCCTCCCGTGCCTAGAATATGCCTTGCTTTAATCACATGTGCCTGAGAGAATTCAGTAGCACACTGCCCATGTGGAGGAGCAGGTGAATAGACAGGTGGTACAAAAAAAGTTAAGATGATAGCCCATCTCTGGGCTTCTTTAAGTCAAAACTGTTTTTTTTTTGAGTTGGAGTCTCACTCTGTCACCCCGACTGAAGTGCTGTGGCACGCTCCTGGCCACTGTAGCCTTGACCTGATGGACTCTGGCGATCCTTCTGCCTCAACCTTCCAAGTAGCTGGAGCTACAGGCACGTGCTACCATGCCCAGCTAGTTTTTGATTTATTGTAGAGACGAGGTCTCGCCAAGTTGCCCGGGTGGGTCTCGAACCCACGGGTTCAGGCAATCCACTCACCTCAGCCTCCCAAAGTGCTAGGATTACAGGCTGAGCTACCGAGCCCGGCCTAGACTCAAAACATTTAATTAAGGTATCTTTGAGTCAGAACACTTAATTAAGTTGTTCTTAGCACATGTGATAACAGGTTCTATAAATCTTGAAAAAAGCACAAAGGTATGTTTTGGCATACTTTTGGTTCATGTTGGTTTTGTCTGAGGACGTGACTTCATCATGGAGATTGGGTGAAATGTGTAGCAGTCATTTATGATGAGGTGATGACACTGATTTCCTATCTTGGGAGGAACCTGGAGAAGATCTTTACTGTTTTTGGATTCCACTAGAAAAAAATAAAAATTCTGTGACTAGGGATGGCTCCTGCAGGTGGAAAAACAAGAGGGCTTAAGTGTGTATTTTTTAGCATCCTTACATAAGGATTGTTGAGGTTCACGTGTGAGTCTTTTTCCGGTATTGTGTGGTAACCATTTGTGAATGCCAGTCAGCCTCAGGGCACTGAGATAGGAATTCTATACCGTGTCCATGTGTTTGGGCAGTTCTGCAGATTGACTTGGTTTCTCAAGGGTCTCTGCACCAGGCCATCAGTGAAACTTTTTTCCTCTTTAGGCATTGGAGCTAAATGTTGTCACACAATTTTCTCTCAATCAATGTTGTACATTTTGCAAGAAAATATTGCTTGCTAACTCTTCTTCTTTGTTGACAAAAGGAAGCTTTCTTCTAGAGAACATGATGTTCTTTCCCTAACTATCCCAAAGATACATTGATGTCTTTAGAGTTTATGAGAGGATGTCTTTTTTCACATGAGCAAGCATGTGCTTGAATTCTGGCTTAGCATGTTCTCTGCATTAAAATACCTTAGTGTCTCCTGATGTTAGGTTAAATTTCTCTTGTGGGTCTTCTTTTTGAAAATGTTGTCATATTGTAGGGCTAGGGTAGCACCCAGAACCAATTTTGATAAGTGTTGGACTTCCCAGTTATGTTCATGGGCAAAGTCATTAAAATTTATGTTGTTAGTTTTATGCCTTAGAAGCCCCATAGTTTTCAGTACGTCTTTGAGCTTTCCATGTCCTTGAGCTTCTCCCATGAGTTAGGTAGATTTGTAATTGCACATTTTCCTTCACACTGAAAATTGAATAGCCCTAGGTATTAAATTACTTTAGGTTAAAGGGAAATTAATCTTTCTGTTGAAAAAGATTTTTCCTGAAACATTCCCATTGAAAGGTACCAATAGTGTTTGTTTTCTCTGATAGACAAAAGAAGGACTTTTGAGCAAGGAGGAGTTATTGAGACTTAGTTCTCATTATTTTGTTAATTCTCTAAGTGAATCCATGCCAGGAGTTTCATGCCTGGCTATGCCTGCATGTGTCCCTACAAAAGTTAGGTTCATGTCAGACCACAGTGGGATGAATGACATTGCTCATGTGTCATGTGTCCCTGTCTGCCTTTCTAAAGCACAGCTGTGTTTCCAATTCACTTTCCAGGTGGCGTTCATGGATTACAGGCCAGTGGCCACAAGTTATTATCTTTGTCTTATGAGGTTTCAGAAGATGTCAAGGAGTCCCATGATACATGCAATGTGCATCCCACTGGATCCTGGTTGATTCTTCATCAAAGTAAGCATCTTCTTTTGAAACACAGTGATTTTTCCCCCCAATTTTCAGGAATGAGGAGTGTGCCTGGATTGATGATGATTCCCAAATATACATTACTTGGAAATCTGAACAAAATGAGTAAAAACTATACTGTCATCTTCACTGAACTGGGACAAGCACGTTTCTACAACAAGGAATAGAGAGAGGGGGCCAACTTCCATTTGTTCACATTGATTGCACCAGTGGATTATTCAGGCTTAGATTGTGATTCTGTGTTTTTGTGAGGGGGATATCCCTGGGAAGTTCACCTTCCATGCATAGAATATGCCTTTCTTGAATCACTTCTCTCAGAGAGAGTGGGGTAGCCCAGGGTCCATGTACAGGAGCAGGTGAATAGGTAGGTAGCACAAGAAGAGTAAGATGGTAGCCCACCTCTGAGCATATAAGTTTGTCTTTGAGTAAAAAACACTTAATAAATAGGCTGTTCATCTCCCAGAGGATAGCACATTCTTGTAGTCATGAAAAGAGCACAAAGCTATGTTTTGGGAATCTTTTGGTTCATGCTTGTGTTGCCTGAGGACATGGGATGACTATGAGGTTGTGTGAAATGTGTTCTCATCATTCATGATGAGGGTGATAACACTGATTTCCTATCTTTGGGAGGAGACTGGAGATGATCTCCACTTTATCTTTTGTTTTCATTGGGATAAATCAAAAATTCTTTTTACCAGTGATGTCTACTGCATGTGGAAAAAGGAGACGGCTAGCGTGCTTTAGTTAGCATCTTTTGGTAAGGATAGTTGAAGAACACCTTGGTGCAACTTATGTGGATAACTGGAAGTTGACCCTTACTCTATAATTCTTGTTGGAGAAATGCCCTAAACCACAGTTTTATGAGGATGATGGTATAGTTTTCACTCATATTGTTTACCTTTCCAAGGAATGCATATATGGAAGTCATCATTGATCCCTGCATCATCTATTTCCCTGCAAATTAGAATTATCCATGTATTTTGGGAAATAGACACTTACCATTTTAAAGACTCTACCAGTACCAGAAAGTTCCCATGGCAGAAATATCCATGAGCTCCATAGATTCTCTGTGAATCTTCCAATATAGAGATGTATTGGCCTATGACCTCATGACCTGTGGCCTTTCTTTCTTAGCAACACCGGCTGTGAAGTAGAGAGAAATTATAGGTATGCTTTATGTGAGTCATTTTGGGGTATTATGTGGTACCCATGATGAATAACCAGTCAACCTCAAGGTGCCAGGATGGGAATTCCCTACAATGTTTGTATGCTTGGGCAGTTCTGCAGTTTTTTAAATTTTATTTTTGGGTTTGTTTGTTTGTATGTGTGTTTTTGAGTCAGAGTCTCACTGTGTTGCCCAGGATAAAGTGCACTAGCCTGATCCAGACTCAGCACAGCCTTGACATTCTGAGCTTAGGCAGTTCTTCTGCTTCAGCCTTCTGAGTAGCTGATACTATAGTCATGTCCCATCAAGCCTGGCTATTTTTATTTATTTTTATTTTTTGTTGAGATGTGATATCACTATGTTTCTAGGCTGATCTAGAACTTCTGGATTCAAGAAGTCCTCTTGCCTTTGCCTCCCAAAGTGCTGAGATGATAGGCGTGAGTCACCATGATTGACCAGTTCTCGTTTTTTGGAAGATCTCTACACCCAGCCATTAGTGGGATCTTTGTCCTCATTAGGCTTTGAAGCTGAATGTTGGCACACAATTTCCTCTCAATTAAAGTTTTATATGTTGTGGGCAAACGTTGTTTGCTTGTCCTTCCTCTTTGTTGATAAAGAGAAGTTTTCTTCTATAAAGCATGATGTTTTTTGCATATGTATCTCAAAGATGCATTGATGCATTTCAAGTTTATGGGAATAGTTCCATGTTTTTATTTGTGTGAAATTGTACTTAGACTCCTATCCTTGGCAAGGTCTCTGCATTTAGTGTCTTTAGTGTCTCTTGGTGTTAGGTTAAATTTCTCTTGTTGTTCTTGTTTATAAAATAGGTGTCATATTGTAGGGTAGGTGTACTACCCAAAAACCAGTTATGGGTAAATGTTGAACTTCAAAGTCATAATCATGGGCAAAGTCCTTAAGATCTATGATGTTTTTCTTCAGAGCAGAATACTGAGGTGCACCAGGGGTAAAAAAGTTTCAACATCAAAGGGAAGTTATCCTTTGTGCTGAAATAGATTTTGTCTGAACCTGTCCCCAATGAAAGATTCAGTTGTTTTTGTCTCATCCATTGGTCAATAGGAAAACTTTTGAGTAAGGAGTGATGAGCAAGTGATGTTGAGAGAATTGTTAATAGTTAGTACATTAGTCTCTTCATGCTCTAAATCACATATACCAGATACCTTTACTCCTTGATGTGCTCATTCATGAATCATTAAAAATGTTAAGCTCATGGAATTTAGAAACATGATACACTGCAGTTAAATGAATGTTACCATTTTTGTGACCTGTTTGTCTATTGGTCTCTGTAAAGCACACTTGTATTTCCTCTCTACTTCCCAGGTAGTGTTGCTATGCAAAGAAGGTCATATGTCACAAGAGATTATCTCTGTATCAGGGGATCCATGGAGAGTCCATGGACACTTATGGCATGGCAACTTTCAGCTCAGAGAACTTTGAGATCCTTTTGAATGGTCAGTATCTGTTTCCCATAATACATGAATATTTCTCATTTGCAGGGAACCAGATGGTACATGGATTGATGATAACTTCCATATATGCATTCCTTGGAAAGCTGAACAAAATGAGTGAAAACTATACCATCATTCTCAGCAAACTGAGGTCTAGCACATGTCTCCAACAGGAATTAGTGAGTGTGGGCCAACTTCCAGTTGTTCATATGGGTGGCACCAAAGAGTTCCTCTAGGCTTGGGACCTTTTGTTCAAAGGACTTCTAGGTGTTTCAGACTCATGGCTAATAGATTGCTTGGCTGCATGACTTCTATCTGTGAATGTGTGGCAGCATGCAGCCTGTCTGCAGAAGTAGGTGAATGGGCAGATAGCACAGATAGTAAACCATATCCTTCGTCTGCAAAGACTTATTTGTTCTTGAGACATACAACTTAGATCACTCATCCTCCAGAGGAAGACAGGTCCTTATAGTCAAAAATGGAGCAGAGGGCTCGGTTTTGATAATCCTCTGTCTTAAGTTTGCTTAGCTGAGGACATGGAATGACCATAGAAATGTGTGGAATTCATGGCAATCAATCATGATGAGGTTGGTGATGCTGATTTCCTATCTTGAGAGGAGCCCAAAGATGATCTCCACCTTAATGTCCACAGTGAGATAAATCCTATGGCCACTGGTGGCTACTGCTTGTAGTAATGGGAGAGGGCTTAATGTACCTTGACTTAACAGCCTCCATGTGCATTTTTTAGTTATATTGATAAGGTTTTTTGGTTGAGTTTCATTTTTTTTTTTTAGTGTTTTGAATGCTATGTGTCTTTCTTGGCTTTAGGAGAGGAATGTGATGCTGTGTCCGTGTGCTTGGGCAGTTCCTTGACGTGGTTTCTAGAAGGCTTCTGTTCCAGACAATCAATGGGATCTTTGTCTCCATTAGGCATCCGAGCTGATTTTGGTACGTAATTTCACTGACCCAACCAAAGTGGTATATATTACAGGTGTATATTGCTTGATCTAACTTCCTCTTTGTTGATAAATGGAAGATCATGATGTCATTTGTGTATGTATACCACATACACCTCTATGTAGTTGAGGTTTATAAGAGAATGTCATTTCCCTTGTGGATGTGGCATCTACTTGAATATCTAGCCCAGCAAGTTCTCTGCATTTAAGTATGTCCATGTCTCCTGAGGTGAGGCTATTTTCAAATTGTTCCTGATGTTTTTCTTTGTGAAATAGAGCCCAGCATTGGACACGTGTTGGACACTGAGGTCATATTATGGGCAAAGTCTTTAAGATCTATGGTGTTCTCAGTTTTAGCACCTTAGAAGTCCTGTAGGATTCATTATGTCTAGTTGTCTTTCAGGTCCTTGTTCCTTGCCAATGAGGAAGTAACCAAGGTTGAGGTAGATTTGTGTTTGCACGTTTTTCTTCAGGGAAGATTATTAAAGTACACCAGCTGAAAATACTTCAAGGTCAAAGGGAAATTCACTTTGTACTAAAGAAGTTTTCCCTGAAACTGTCCCCACTGAAAGATCTTAATAACATTTGTCTTCTCTGGTGGCCAAGCAAAGGGTTTTTGATTAATGAGTGACCAATGAGTTAAGTTGAAAGAGTTTTTCACATTTAAGAGTTTTAGCCTGGCAAATACTTTTTCCCAGTCTGTGGGCTGTCTCCCTGCTCTCTTGATGGTTTCTTTGGCTTTGCAGAAGCTTATTAGTTTAATGAGGTCCCATTTGTCTATCTTATCTCTTATGGCCCATGCGTTTCAAGTTTTGTTCAGGAATTGGATGCCAGTTCCAATTTCCATAAGGGTGTGTCCTGCATTTTCTAAGGTTCTTATGGTTTGAGGTTTTACATTTAGGTCTCTGATCCATTTAGAGTTATTTTTTGTGTATGGGGATAAATAGGGGTCTTGTCTGAATCTTCTGCATGTGGTCAGCCAGTTTTCCCAGCACCATTTACTCAGTGGTAGGTGGTGGAGGCTTTGTCAAAGAGTTAGTTGAGAAATTGAGGTTTTGCTTCTGGAATCTCAATTCTATTCCATTGGTCTATATGCCTGTTCCTGTTTCGATTATTGTAGCTTTATAGTAAAGTTTGAAGTCTGGTAATGTGATACCTCCTGCTTTGTTTTTTTTTTTGCTGAGGATTGTTCTGGTTATTCTTGGTCATTTGTGTTTCCATATGAATTCCTGTATTGGGAATATACCCTGAAGAACTCAAATCACTCTATAAAAAAGATACCTGCACACGTATGTTTATTGCAGCATTGTTCACAATAGCAAGAACCTGGAAGCAACCATGCTGTCCATCAAAAGAGGACTGGATTTTAAAAACGTGGTACATATACACGATGGAATGCAACACAGCCATAAAAAAGAATAAAAAAAAAAAGAACAAAATCATGAACTTCGCAGTAACCTGGATGGAACTAGAGTTTATAATACTGAGTGATCTCTCACAGAAACAAAGATTTGAGTATCACATGTTCTCACTCATAAGTGGACCTTGAACATTTATTGTAATACTATAAGAAAAGGTTTGACGGTGGTAGAAAACTATGGGGTAGTAGGGAGGGGAAGGGAGGTGGGATTAACGGTAGTCGATATCTGTCTGGGGATAGGGCAACATCCCTTATCAACAAGGGTGCCTGAACGATGCATATTTGTATACCTAACCCTTAACTGCACCCCACAATTTTAAAATAAAAAAAATATATAAAAGAAAACAAATTTAGTGAGATGCCATATATGAGAAAATAAAGAGGAGACCTATTTAAACTCAAAAAAAGAGCTTTAGCCTGTTAATGTTTTAAATTCATACAAGCCAGATACCTTTAGGCATGTGTTCATAAAAATATGAAGCTTATGGATGGTATATACAAGATAGAACACAGAAGGATGAATGCCACTGCCCTGTGACCTGTGTCTTTTTCTACCTTTCTAAAGCATACCTATGTTTTCATTGAACTTCCCAGGTGGTCTTGCCATGGAGGGAAGGCCATAGGTCATAAGGGACAATCTTCATATTGTGATATCCATGAAGATTTTGTGAAGCCCATAAACACATTTGACATGGGGTCTTTTGGGTGCTGGTAGATCCCTCAGGACAGTAAGTGTCTGTTTTCTAAAATACACTGATTTTCCTCATTTGCAGGGATGCAGGTTGTGCATGGATCGATGATGACTTCCATATATGCATTCCTTGGAAAGCTGAACAAAATGAGTGAAAACTCTATACCATCATCCTCATTGAACTAAGGTCCAACACATGTCTTCAACAGGGAATAATAAGAAAGGGCCAACTACTAGCTGTTCACATGGAATTTAGTAAGGGGTTTAAATGTGGTCAGTTTTGGGTAAATGGGGAGTTCTGGGAATTTTGAACTATTGTGAGGAGGACATTACTTGGTTGAATGACTTCTCTGAAAAAATGATGTAGCACCCAGTCTGTCAGCACCTTAATGTGCAGGTGGCACTGGAAGGGCAAGATAGTAGCTAACCTCTTCCATGTCTTGTTTGTTGTTGAGTCATACCACTTGGGTCTTTTGTTTTCCACAGAATTACAAGTTTTTACAGTTTGCAATAGAGAAAAAGCCAATCCTGACCATTACTGACTCACCTTCATCTTTCACAGGGGTGATTGTGAGGCTGAAGATATTGAGTAGAATCAGTTTCAGGTAGTCATAAGGAGGGTGGTGATACACACATTTTTTTAAGTGGAGACTGGAAAAGGTCTCCACTGTTTACTTGATTTCCACAGAAGAAAATCCAAATCCTTTGTCCAGTGATGGGTAATGCAAGTGAAAAATGGACATATGTATGTGTGCATTGACTTGGTAGCCTTTTATGTGGATTGTTTAGTGACTCTTTTTTTTTTGAGTTGGAGTCTCACTTTGTCGCCCAGACTGGAGTGCAGTGGCCGCTCCCGACCACCGCAACCTCGACCCGCTGGGCTCAGGTGACCCTTCCACCTCAGCTTTCCGAGTAGCCGCACTACCACACCCAGCTGATGTTTTGATTTATTGTAGAGATGAGGTCTCGCCAAGTTGCCCAGGTGGGTCTCGAACCCGTGGGCTCAGGCAATCCACTCACCTCAACCTCCCAAGGTGCGGGATTACAGGCTGAGCCACTGAGCCCGGTGTTTAGTGACTCTTAATAGTCACAAATAAATTTTATTTTCCTTGGATATAAGTTTTTTGATGGGTCTTGCCAAACAAATTACTCTGTGGACATGCAAGCACTAGTTGTAGCTGTATAACAGCAAATGAAAGCCGACTGAAGCTAATAGAAGGAAGACAATTGATTAACACGCATAAGAGGTCTCTTGACTCTCCTGCCTATTAAATCTGGCATTAGTTACCTCTTCCCTGTTTGCAGTAATCTTGGTGACCCTGGTAATTTTCCCAGACGTGCTGTATCAAATCTTCCATCTCACAATGGGAGTATTGCTAATGGGAGGCTAGCATTGCTAAGACTGAATTATTCTACTGTATCCATGCCTTTGCAGTGCCCATTCTTATGGGGACCCTGTCTTTTTTTGGTTTTTCATTGAAGAGGAACATAGGGGTCAGGACTGTATTGACCTCCTATCTTAGAGGAAGAAAAATACAAATTCAGCCCATAGGAACTTCCTTGCCTAAATCTTATCTCAGGATCCACTGTTCTAGAATTTTAGGGGATTTCATGTAGAACTAAGTTCAGGGATTAAGGCAATGTCTGATGTTTTTCCGTACCATAAATCTTACATCTGACTCTTTTTGTCTACCAGATATTCATAAATCAACTTTCTTCTTTCATGGGGGGATCTCATGTAAGCCATCTATAGCATCCATTAAATCACCACCCAATTTCTCAATGAAGGGAGTTCTGTCAATACTTTGTTTATTCAAGACACCACTTTCCTTTTTGTAAATTCTATTTCCTATGGTTTGTAGCACAGCTAAAGTTGCCATGTTATGGTCTCCTTATTTAGCTAGTTTTAGATTAAGGAGCCTTTGAAATATATTCCTTGATCACTGGTAATAATTCTCAGGGTACTAGACATTAGTTCCAAGCATTAAGAGACCTACAGAATTTTCTCCATCTCTCTGCCTCCAGCAAGTGGAACTTGGAGTTGCTGCTTCTGCAGAAACACCAGGCTACCCTAGTGGCAGAACTGAGACTGTGGGCTTCTCAGCCCCTCTTTGCAGAACCACTCCATCTTCCTTTTTAGCTGCTATGTCAGTAACTACCAGAGTATATGCCTCTTTCTATTTTTAATTTCTCTTCTAACTTGCACATCTACTCTCAGTCACTGATCAGGAGAAAAGTGGAGAAATCTGGACAACTTTAAAGAAGAAATATTCTATTTTATTAATGTTTGTGCATATGCATTTTCAGTTAACTGTAGACTTTGTTTCAATGCTTTCAGTATAAATATAGATTGTATGTATGTACACACACACACACACACACATGAGACTATGAAGTAACATACAAAGAAGATTTGTCATTTTCCTTTGTTACAGGTATTCTAACATATCTTCTTGGTTTTTTCCCCTTGTCTGACTTTAGAGAATAGACCAGTATATTTCACAATATATCGTCTTCCTATTTTTATTTATTTATTTATTTATTTATTTATTTATTTAGAGTCAGGGTCTCATTCTGTCCCCCAGACTAGAATACAGTGGCATGATCATGGCTAGCCACAGTCTTAAACTCCTGTGCTCAGGTGATTTTTTTCCACCTTAGCCTCTTGAGTAGCTGGGACTACAGGTGCACTTCACCACACCCAGCTAATTTTTTTATCTTTATTTTTGGAAACAAGGTCTTGTTGATATGGTGTCCAGGCTGATCTAGAACTACTGGCCTCAAGCAATCCACCTATCTCAGCCTGCCCAAGTGCTGAGATTACAGGCCTGAGCCAGGCCTCCTCATCCTATTAGCTAAGAAAGCACATATGCTTTCAGTGAGAGGTGGTAGCCTGAATTGGAGTCAGTGTTTACATGACTATATTCAGTGATGTCATTCCCTTTCATGCTCAAGTCATAAAAAATTCACCACGTATTTCTTATTTTTGGAGGAATAAGCCAAAAGATTATGTTGATGAAACCAGAACAATTTCAAGTTATGCTAATTGTTTGTAAAATATTTAGTTGTGTTTATTTATGGTTGGTTGATTCATTTTCCTGTGGGCTTTCTAGTCTTTTTTATTACTTACATTGTAATCAAAGCACCTGGAAATGGAGCCTCGAATGACATGATACAGTTTCCATAATATCTATATTTTCCATAAAGACAAACAATTCTGGATGCATTGTATCTACATGTTGTCATCTATCCTACTATACTTCTTTGTAAGGAGGTATTTTGGAGACAAAATTCTTCTTTTCACCTACATAGATGTCTCTCATTTGTTCTCTCACATTCACTCTTGTGGTAGTTTGATCTGTCAATTGTGGTTGGCGTGCTCCGATGAGCAAAATATGGGATTTTACAATGCATAAAAACCTCCTTGATTTTTAGTTGATATTTTGTTTATTTGCCTTAACAACAAGATTAATCAATTTGGGTTGACATTTAGAAATAACATGTTATGAATCTTACTATGTGATGCTTCCTCAGAGTGCTACATTTTATTGCTGGTGAAGGTCTTTGACTTTCACCTGTCAACTCATGACAATTTCTGTAGGATTTATATTTATGTCTCATGTTCTTTTCTGCCATGAATGAGGATGACACTTGCAGAAACATGGGGACTTTTCCTCTGATATCTTGCGTTTTCTGCTTGTGATAATTAAAGGAAGAGGAAAAGTTCCCATATCCTTCAAGATCATTTTCTTGCAATGTTATGCATGTAACTTTACTATTATACTTGCCAGGTTACCAGTGAAGGGCTCTTTGCTGTGTGGTAGTGAATAGCAATGTGATTTGAGTAGGCTCAGCCACTCCAATTGAGTAACTGCTATTCCAGCCTTGTGCCCCAGAGGCACTGCATGTTTATTGCAGAGATTTTATTTTCTAGTAGTTTGTTTTTGTTCCATGCACAACTTCAAAGTGCGTTCCACTTTGAAAGCTTTTGAAGCCACGAGTGTTATTATTGTCAGATTCATTAGAAAAAAGAATGTGTACAAGACTGTTGGGAAGTATCCATAAATAGCAGTGTTTGTTAGGAAAGGGATGTGTAGCAACCATTATTGTTCAGAGGAGTCCAAAGTCTCCTTCTTTGTTTTTAGATGGGTAGATTTTCAGCATGTTTGTTAGAATTAAAACCAGGAAGTTTTACACTGAAGGTTGTTTAGCTGGTGAAGTGAAAACTGCTCCCAATTTAAATGTTATTAATTTAAATGAAGGTGCAAGGTGTATTTCATGGGACAGCATTCCATGATACTTGTTGACCAATGCCTGCACTTGTAATTAAGAGACCATTTGTTTCCTGTACCCTTCACAGGTGCAATTGCCATGGAACTCAAGGCAAATATGTATATAAAGGCTTGTATTTTCATTCATACTTTGAGATGCAGGAGAATGCTTTGGATAAATAAACAGTAGGGTTGTTTAAGAAGTAGCTGTACTGCTCATGTCAGTATTTTTCTTCTAAAATGTATACTAATAAGTGGACATAGAAGAAAATTTTACTTCTTTGGTCCCTCGTGGCATGTGGATTTTCTTTATGGCTTTGTTTTACTAGTGCTCACACAGTGTTTATGTATCTATATGGAAGCAACAAATGTTTATATATTGTGTTTCTTTTAATTCAATTCATAGCGTTCTCTAATTTCCCTTGTGGAGCCTTCACCCATCTAGAAGTTATTTAGAATGTATCATTTTATTGTCAGTGTTGCTGAATTTTCAGCTGTATTTCATATGTGTTTTACTGATTTATATTGTCATAGCCACATTGCATATTTGGTAACAATTCGAGTCATTTAACTTTTGTAGCATTAATTTTGTTATCCCAGGTAAGTCCATCTTTATTAATGCTCTTGTGTGCATAAGAAAACAGTACATATTCTGCTGTTAGTGCTTATAGAGGCCTTTTATTGCTAATTGAATATGTTATATTGTTGTTTGTGTCATGTATAGCCTTAGTGATTTTTGTTGTTCTATCTATTAGTGACAGAGGCGTGTTGACTTCTTCAAATATAATAGTAAATTTGTCTATTTTTCCTTTCAGTTTTATTAGTGATTATAGGTCTCTTGTATGGTACATACATATGTAGTGTTGTTTTATGTTCTTGATGAATTATTCTAATAATATATAATATTTCTCAATT